TTATGGCTTAGTATAAAGTATAAATTATTAAAATGTTTTACAAGTATACAATGTAGAGAGTATTGTATATTCTCTAATATCTGATTCTGTAACTGTCCACTAAATCTAATTACTTGATTTTTTCAGTTTTTCTATATTTTTATATCTATTTTCATTTACTTGACCTACCAATAACTGAGAAAAGTATGACAAATTTGTCATTTTCTCCAAATCTATGACATTTTGAGGCCATTTTATCAAATTCATAAAATTTACAAGATATATTATATATTATGTAATGACCATCCATGGCACTAATAATTTTCTGCCTTAAAATCTTTCTGTTTGATGTTAATAGTTACCAGTTTTTGTTTTCTTTTGATATTTGCCTAGCATATAACTTTTCAGTTTTTTCTTCCATCTTTCCATTTCTTTAAATTTTAATTTTATCTATAGCATATACGGAACTTGTTTTTGTGCTTATTGTTATCCTATTGCTTATCTGTTCCTTAACTCCATCTACATTTATTGTAATTACTGTTACATAGAGTTGCTCTCTTTCTCTCTCCTTTGTGCTTTCTTCTTGTCTCAACTTTGCTATACTTTTTTAAAAAATATTTTTACTGTATGAAATTGAGACTTTTTTTGGTCCTATGTTCCCTAATATATTTTCTCACTTCTAGAAGGTTTCAAGTCATACTTTATTTTTTCTTTTAAAGGCTGCATTGTGAAAATAATATTAACAATAACAATAGTAAAACATATATGTGAATAAATATATGAATATATAAATATAACCATATATGGCAAACAAATGTCATGTGACTAACTGTGGTGTGCCTTACATACTTCAGTTTACTTAATCTCAACAGGAACCCTGCAAAATAGGAGGTATTAGCAAAGTGAATGGTTCCTATTTTATCTCCCTCCAAACAATAATAGGACATAAGGATACATTAACTCCATTCTCTTCTCCAGTAATGGACTATGTTTTTTTGTACCTAATTATCGTGTGCACAGGGAGAACCCTTGTGTGGCTTCAATTCAGGTAAGGCAGATTTTAGAATTTCATTTCTACAGCTCAGAGTGAACCAAACCCTTAAAGGACTTCAGCATGGCACTTCACATGATATGAGCATGACCATCCTCTCTAAGACATTTGTTCAACAAATGGAGTTATCTTGTTGCTCCAAAAATGAAGACCAGGGAAATTATAAGCTATGATATTTGATAAAAGGACAAGCTGTTTTCTGAACGGTGGAACAAGCAGTACATGGGGAAAGAAGGCAAGAAGCCAAGGAAGATTAGGGGAAATATTTGTAATGCTCTATTTAAACCAAAGCAGACATCCCCCGATATGCTGATCATGAGGTTTTGGAAGCTGGGGTGGAAGAAATGATAGAAGCCACAAGCCATCATTGTAAGGCTCTCATTGAGGGTGGAGAAGGACAGGAACTTGGAAAGGAACTTTAGGAGAAAAAGACAACTCTGGAAATTTTATTTAATTCACACTTGCGTTGTTCACAGTATGAAGCGCTAGCAGCATTTGAGGGGCTGGGTATCCCTTCAGTCTTATCTGTAGTCTTTCAATTCTGAGTACAAGAATGGAGCCCTAGTTCCACTGTTCTCTCCCCAGCTCCAGAGTGCTTAAGATATGTGGATGCTCAGTCAATGTATGGTGACCCCAGAACCTCCTGGAAGGTAAACACTGATCAGCAGGAAAGGGAGTGTAGATTGAAACCAGTGGGGAAACCTCTGGAAATCCAGACCTGGAAGTTACCAGGAGTCTTGTGCTGATTGTTAAGCCTTCTGCTGACTCATGTGCTGGTGTCCTGATGATAAGCCTCAGGAGCAGTGAAAGACCCCTTCGGTTAAAGATATAATTTCTACTTCTTATTTAATTTTATTTCTGGATTAACATATCATAAAATGAAAATTCACCAGGAATGAGAACTTCAATGGTACACTTTGTTCTCCTAACACTGACTACATGTTCCGTTCTCTATCACCTGCAGGCAGAAATGTGCTTGGAATGAGATCTAAACATATGTCTCTGTGACTTAAAAGAAGTCAGAAAACAAAGATATAAACTACCTCTGCTGGATCTTAGGGAAATATGTCTTACACACTGATATAATAACAGTACCATTTTGATAATCAAGGTTATACATAATAAACACATTTGCTAAGGTGGTTTTTCTAAACATGGATCCTTAGCAACTGAGATTTATTGTAGAAGTTGCTACAGAGAAATTTTAATACAACTTTTAGGCTTTCAAGGCTTTTAAAATTCATTATAATTGCAATGAAATAAAATCTTTTACCATCATGAAACAATCTTACATTAAAACATTCCCGAAATGGCCATACAACCCTAAATATGAGAAGAATGCTCTTGTTCATTTAATGGTTTTGGATGGTTCCATGATGCTGAGTCCATGGAATCCTCCTTGTAAATTAAAGGAGCAGATGGCAGTGTAGAGTGGCTCACACGTGCACCTGAAGGAGCAGAGGGTATGGGGAAAGTGGTGATGCCTGAGACTGGAAAATTGGCCTTGTAAACTACATCAGGACCATGTCTTAAAATCAGTGAGGCTCGCTGTTTTAAGCAAAGGTGTAGTATGGGAGGCAGGCTGTAATATAGTCCCAATGGTCCCTACTGCCTCTGATATTGACTCCTGTGTGTAATACACTTCTTTAGAGTGTGGGCTGAATTTTATCACTTCTAATGAATAGATGGTGGCAGAAGTAATGACATATCACTTCTGATATTAGGTTACAAAAAGACTACTGCTTCTATCATGGAGTGCCCTCCCATTGTATGTCATTAACCACCCTATGGAAAGATGCATGTGGCAAGAGACTGATGTCTCCAGCCAGCAGCCAGCTGGTCCTGGGGCTGTTCAAAGCTCCATGAGTGAGTGGGAGCCCTACAGTGACCACAGCTCTGGTCAACACATTGTAGGCTCAGGAGAGATCCTGCACCAAAACCACTCAGCTAAGTCACTCAGAGATTTCTGACCCTTAGGAGCTGTGAGACAATCAATGTTTGTTGTTTTCAGCTGCTGAGTTTTAGAGTAATTTGTGATGAATCAACAGGTAACAAGCATACATAGCCTGTTATTTGCATGTTAGAAAAAGGTGGTCCTGGCACATCATGGAGAATAGAAGCTATGGGGATGGTGGCCTGGCTTAAGCTGGTGATGATTAGTATAGCAAAGAGAAGGCAATCTGGAGATAGTTAGAAGGAAGGGCAAAACTAGAGATTGTGAGGATAAGGTAGGGAGAAAAGCCAAAGGAGATGCCTTGAGCATACTAGTGGACAGATAAGCCACTCACTGAGATAGGGAAACTGTCTTCTACAAAACAGCAGGAGTCCAAGGAGAGAGGAAGAGTTCAGGTTGGGAAAGATTGAAGATGCCTTTTGAACATCCAGGTGGGGAAATGGTAGGTAGTGAGAGAGGGACGTATGAACTTCTAGAGAGAATCTAGAGCCAGAGCTCCAGACTTGGCAGTTGGGGGCACACAGGCAGGAAGAAACAGGAGGGAAATACACAGGCTCCAGCTAGGTGGAGAGTTGCCACATGTGGCTCAGTTCCCCAGTCTGAAAACAAGAGATTTTTTGAGCACATAAATTAGCCATCATGTAAAGTAACTAGAACTGGACCTTGCACATAGTAAATACTCCAGACTGGTTATTATTATTTAATATTATTATTTAGAGAAGGAAGGAATATTTCCAATAGCAGGAAGGCCCAGAAATTGAATATATATCAGTTTTCATCACATTGTTTTTGGGTTTTATCTTCTATAACACAGTGGTCCACTTGTCAAGTGTGTACAAAAGAAAAAAAAAAAACCTGAGTTCTGTTTCTGAAAGGACAATATAATGTATAGCTTTAGATTGAAGACAAATTCAGTAGGAAAAACAAAACCTCAAAATACTTTTTATACCAGAAATAAAAGCCTATTTTTCTAAGGAGTTGTGGGTAAAGAGCAGGTAGAGACTTTAACTTCCCTTGAGGCTATCACAGCCCAGAATAAGAAACCCTCACATGGTCATGTCAGGACTAGAATATCGCCAGGATGGAGCCTGCCTGCCTTCTTTTGTTCTTATTTAAAATGTGTGAAGTGAGAGCAGTAGAGGTGCCATGCCTTTCTCCACCCATTTGTAAAGATTTTAAGATGACACCAAACAAAATCCAGACTGTACTACTTGACCTTCCTGGGCTTCTTTAGCTTCAGGCTAAGCTGATGGACAATATAACAGCTTAGTTACTGAGCTTCGAGTTTCATCAGAACTGTAGGCTTTGCTAACTGTGAATGGTTGCCTTAATGCTGGGACAAAGGATAAACAAAGGATGCCAGGTAATGGTGAATACTAGGAATAATACTGCCTGAAGCCATTCAGACCATCCACAGGATGCATAATAGGATACTAGGCAATGACCACTTTAAAATCATTCTGCATCCTTGTCCAGTATTTAAATCCTCCTTTCTTCATACAATTAATAATTCTATCTCATTCATCTGTGAAGGTATTTACAGAGTACTATTTAGGTTAGGTCTTGTGTCGGGAGCAAAAGTTAAACACAACTGCTACCCTCAAGGGGCTCAGTTTAGCAGGGAAAAATGTACCTGTCCACAGATTAAATAACAGAAAAGAGCAAAACTGAAGTTAAAATAGAATAATAAAATAAATGTAACACATATATGCTGACAGAAATAGAACTAAAGTAATCAGATCAGAGGGATGTGAGAGTGTTGTGGTAGCCCAGAAAAAAGGCAATTCCCACTCAGAAGAGTCAGTGTTCCCAGAGAAACAGAGCAATAGAATGTGTATGTGCATATGTAGATTCAGAGAGAAAGAGATTCATTGTAAGACGCCTGCAATTGTGGTGCATGAATCTGCAGGGCAGACCAGCTAGCAGGAGAGTCAGGTGAGTCTTGGTTGTGAATTCTGAAGGGGAGCAGTCTGGAAGGTCAGAGAGGGTTTCATGTTACAGTCTTGAGGCAGAATGGCTTCTTCCGGAACTTCAGTCTCTGCTCTTCAGGCTTTAGTTTGTTGGATGAGGCCCACCCTCTTCCACATTGTGGAGGTCTTCTGCTTTGCTCAGAGTCTACTTGAGGCAGAAGGTAAGGAGGAAAAATTCTTGGAAGGAGGAGACCTGAAGGGCAGAGGGAAAAAGAGGAAGCTAGCTTTCCAAAAATGGCACATAGTGACTGGTTCTGATAGCTAGATCATAGCCAGTGAAAACAAGAGAGTACATGTGCTATAGGCTCTTGGAGGGCCCGAGATAAGCTCTAGAAACCAGAGTGCCCACCTCTAAGGACTAAGCCATGCCTGGGGATGCACAGGCTAGAAAATATCTTAGACAACTGAAATTGTCTCCAACTCAATTGTAATTAATTATAGTCTCATTTACATTGTGGTTTTGACGCTTCCCACACTGGGGACTTTGGGTGCCATGACAGTTCTTCAAAAGTCCATATAAGGACAAAAACTCCCCCATTCAACAGAAAGAAGGAGACTTCCTTGATGGGAGTAAATTGCTTCCCAGATGAAAGAGTTATGCCCTCCCTGTAAAAACCACACATAGGCTCTGATGCTCAGCTTCCTCAGGAGTGTGAGCTCTTTTCACTGGCTCATTCCTACTCTAAGAGTATATGTTTGCTAATAAATCTGTGTTTTCACTTCTACTTGCTCAATTCTTTGCTTGGGATGCCAAGAACCTAGGACAGTCACACACCCATCCCCCCACAACACACTGACTTGAATGTTAGTCACATGTATTTAATGCCTCACAGTGACATTTTCCCCACTCGTTGGCCAGTATATGGGCACTGTAGCCCAGCCAGGTAAACATACCACCAACCACTGAGCTCCACAGTTCAGACAGGGGAGCCTTCTTGGGGGATCATTGTATCTTAGTGTCGCTGGTTTATGTGAGAGAGGATCCACTCAGGAAGCACAAAGGAAGTAGGAGAAAAGCTAGTGAGAGAATCTAGGAAGTTGTATGCTCATGAATAAGTTGTCACTGTAGGCAACATGGACCCAGTCCTGATGGGGACAGTCTATGGCCTTGGGGCATTGGATTACAGCAAATCAGTGGGATGGAGCTTGTGCAGCAAATATGGCCAGGCAATTTGAGGCTTTGTCTTACTTGTGAAAAGACTTGTAAACTCTATCTAAAGAGCACTGTTTCTGTACTGTGCAAGTGGAGAAGACTCAGCCCCTGTGTTCCTGCCTTTGCCTGTAACTCTGGTGACATCACCAGATGGTGGCCTCTCAGTCATCCCAATCTGCTGAAGATCTTGTGTGGGGCTGAGCTGGTTCTTGATGGCTGATGGAAACCTCAGGCATAGAAGTAGAAGGCCCTAGACAGGAGCATGCCTGGGGTGCAGGACCCATTCACAGTGGGCTAAGGAGACAGGTGAGGTATGAGCATCCTCTGCCAACAACTCTCAGCTCTGCCATTTAGTGTAGAGCTTTGGGTGCACTAACTTCTGAAGTCTCATTGTCCTTATCCGTAAGTGGGTAGATTTGAAAATTAAAGTGATAAGCTCAGAATGTGCTGAGAACAAGGCTGAATTTCCAGCCAGCACCCCTCCTCACCCCCAGCTAAATGCAGCAGTGTGCATTTACTCCCATTCCTAAGGTGGCCAGGCTCTACTTTCTTTTATTGTCCACAGCCTTTGAAGTATTCTGGCAGAGGAAGGTAGAGGCCCAGGGGTCACAGTGACACAGCTGTCCTAGCACCAGACTTTCTCTTGTTCATGACTCACTTTCTTAAAAAGATAAGCAGAGAGGACACAGGAGGAGGGAGATTTCTTCTACTCTCTGGAGCTAAGCTCAGTTTTGATGGAAATGTCTCCTATCCCCATATACACATGGCCGGCACCCCTATGCAATCTTATCACCCAAGGACTCACACCATAGGTCAGAAAGTGAGCTGATATTTTTACAGTAACCTTTTCATAACCTCCATTTAAGTTCTGCCTCCTCCCTGGACAATGTAGACATGTTTATGAACAGGAGGAGGTGATTCCTCACATCTCACAGGACTGCTACATTTTTTCATGGCATAATCCTGATAGGACTAGAAGAACTGGGACTAGAAGTGCGAGAAGGAGATGCTGTATGACAGAACTGATGTGAAGACTATGTATCAGCCAGGGCTCTTTAGAGGAATAGAAAGAACCAAGAGAATGTGTACATAATTATAAAGGAGTTTATTAGATTGTTTTACACAATTGGAGTCTGGGTAGTCCCACAATTGACAATTGGGAAAACTAGTAGCTGCTCAGTTCAAGAAGATAGAAGCCTCAGAACAAGAGGAACCAATGGTGCAACCCCAGGCCAAGGCTGAAAGCCTGGAAGTTCCAGGAAAACTTGCTTGGTACAAGTCCATATTCAAAGGCTGAAGAATCTGGAGACTGATGTCTATAAGTGATGGCAGAAGCAGCAAACAAACAAACAAACAAAAAACCCAGCCACAAACAAAGTAGCTCACTAAGAATTAAGCATGTGTGAGTAGCTTCACCCTGATGTTTTTTGTTCCATCTGTGCCCCAGCCTATTGGACAGTGCCACCCACATTCAGGGCAAGTCTTCCTCCCTCCATTCAATGGCCTGTGTCAGTTTTCTCTCAAACACCCTCACAGACACCTCCAGAAATGTGCCTTACCAATTTTCTAGACATCTCCCAATCCAGTCAAGTTGACAACCAAGATTACCCATCACAAACTGAGATTGCCGTCTTTCCTCACCGCTGCTCTTTGAGGAGAAAGAAATTGGCCTCTCCTGAAGCAGTGCAGATTGCAAACATGAGGGCAAGACCCTCTGAGAGTCTATTGGAAAGTGCATTACCAGCCTCCCAGCTACTACATTGCCAGCTTAATTCTGCAGCCCATTTCCGAATCTGGGGCCATATTTTTCTCTTGAGATGTCCCAAACCAGGACAGATGGAGTCCTCCAGACTTCTGAATTACTTACTAAAAATAAAAATACTGATGACCACAAACTTAGCATAAGGAAGTCCTGCAAAGTTACAACTTGCTCCTGATCACTACTATACTTTAAAAAATTCCTTTAAAATTTTTCTTTCACTATGCCTGTTTTTCAGTACTCAAAGCATCTTAGTGCATCTAAGTTCAGATTCACTTTTCAGACATTTAACACTGCTTGTAGATTCATTATGAATTTTCCTTTTTAATGTTGGGCAGCCATCTTGGTTTTGGTTTCATATCCTGACCCTCACACAAGTTGCTCCATTGTGTCTGAATTCACACTTTTTTTGTAGTGTGGGTCTTTATGCTGAGTCCTTGCAGAGAGTAACCATTTGTGATGAATTTTAAAGGCTTTAGGTTAAGTTCTATATGTTTACTGTCAGTCTTGATGTTTTTAGTCGAATGTAAATCTTTCAAAAATGAGTTTTTCTTAAGATGTATTCAGTGAGAGTGTTTAATTATAGCTTCCTCGAAGTTGAGAAAAACCATGTAAACAGGAAAACATTCCAAATGGTAAATACTATGAATTGAGGTCTTTAAAACCTCATATGGCAATGGAGGAAGTACAATCAACATTATATTGCACACATGGGGGATTTCTCTTGTATTTAAGGGAAAGCACAGTCAAAGTCATGACCATAATTTCCTCATGAGCAAGTTTGCTGGTGCCATGAAAACTACTGTTGTATTTTCTCCAAAGCATCTATCTGAGTAACATCTGATCCTCTAGCTACAGAGCAGTGTCCCACTGCTTACTCTGCCCATAGCAGCACAACTGCCCCATTTCAAAGGGATACATTCAATTACCATGTCTGAAGGAGTTTCCCAGAACTACCAAAACAAATTAGCACAAACTAGGTGGCATAAAACAACAGAAATTTATTGTCTTACATTTCTAGAAGCCATGAGTCTGAAATCAAGGTGTAGGCAGCCCCACGCTGTCTTCAAAGGCTGTAGGGGAAGAACTGTTCAGTGACTTTCTCTTATCCTTTAGTGGCTTCTGGCAATCCTTGGCCTGTAGACACATCATGCTAACCTCCCCCAACATAACATACAGGATTCTCCTGATTTTCCTCACATTTTTTCTGCTTTGTGTGTCTGTGTTCTTATATGGATACCAGTCATAACCAGATTAGGGCACATCCTAATGACTTCATCTTAACTTGCTTTTGCCTTGCAGTAAATCTACTTTAAAATAAATTTAGAGGCTAGAATTTCAATAAATCTTTTAGGGGAACAAAATTCAACCCATGATAATTTCCAAATAAACTTCATAAACTCCCTCCCTTATCCCCCAATTCTTAGTTGGAGCAGATCTACTTGCCACTGACTCAGGTTTAGCTTTCAGAGGATCTCTCAAACCCTCTGGTTAGCTAAGGTTCAATGGCATGATTCTCAGTCTCTTACTAATGAGCTTCTTTTCCTTCCCAGTCACTACCTTCCATTCTCCAATGCCCTCCTCTGATGTCACCTTCTCTGAAGCTAATGCCAGGAGGGATTCCATAAATCTTGGAGGTCTCTGCCTCACTTCTGAGTCACACATTACTGTTTTCTATATTTAATTTTTGTTGGGAAAGGTATTCTCATATGTGCAGCCTTGGATCCTTGCACAGCCACAAGGAGTGGCCTTGGCTGGCAACATTTCTTTGCAGGGAATTAGAAGCCCTTCCAGCCTGTGTTGGGAAGATCTCTTTGGGAATATCTTTCTCTGTTTGGACCCTGTGTATATACCCTTTTTCTATGTAAGCAGGTGAGCCAATGGCCCTCAAGGTCACCCCCAGGAAAAGGATTGGCTGGCCTTTACATGCACACAGGAAGGTTATGTACAGACCATCTCTCTGGCCTCTGAAACCTTAGGTGGGAGATGCTTTGTCTTCTCACAGAAGGTGCACAAGGATGTTGAACAAATAAATCTTTTCACTGTGTGGCAGTCTAAAGAATTTGATTTGGTGATTTCATCAAATTGACCAAACTTTTTGGGCACCTTAAACTCAATCGTTCTAAACTTCAGTATATAAAATAGGTCCCTCAGAGTACCCATACACTTAACATCACTGAGTCTACTCCTAAGAGTCTGGGGCAGTATGGAGGGGTGAAACCCAGGAAATTCCCTTTCAACAAGACATTCCCCTGAGTGATATAATCATGGTCTATGGTGAGCATATTTTGAATTTGTGACTACACACACACATGCACACACACTTGTCCAGTTATTTATTTATTTATTTTGGTACTGGGGATCGAACTCAGGTCCTTGCACTTGCGTAGCAGGCGGTGAAACCACTGAGCTAAATCCCCGGCCCTTGTTCAGTTAATTTTGATCAAGTTGATTGGCCAATTTTACTTTTAAAATGTTGTATCATATATTATAATTAGTTACTTTTGTCCTATGTCCAGACTAATGTGGTGGTGTTTCATTTCTAGAACAGTATTTGGACATGCACATCCTCATCACTACTCTAATGTTGGAAGTTGCCCTTGAGCCCACAGGGAAATCAGTTGCTCCAATTAATAGCAAAAAGGGTAAAGCAGGATGTGGGGGAAATAGAGCTAGAGAAAAAGACTCATTTGAAGATCTGGCCTCAGAGGCAGATGCTAACCACTAAATCCTCAGAGGCAGGTGAGGACAGACAATTGATTTGGGTTCAACTGATATCTAAAGGTGGGCAGTGACCAGAGAATGTCTATTACGGTTTAAATTTAAAATGACTTCCAAAAGTCTCTTGTGCAGAGGTGGGGCTTTCAAAAGGTGATTGGGTTGTAGAGACATTGAATTCATCAATAAATCCACTGATGAGTTCATAGCTGAATGAGTTGTTATGAGGTAGAGCTTGGTTGGAGATGGGTCACTGGGGATATGACCTAAGGGTGTATTCTGAGCTCCTCCCTTTTCTCTCTGCTTTCTGGCTGCCACAGAGTGAGCAGCTTTCCTCTGTCAGGCTCTTCCACCATACTGTTTTTGCCTTGGAGCCAGCCAACCATAGACTGAACTCACTGGAACTACAAGACAAGTAAATTTCTCCTTTAAACTGTGGGTATTGGGTATTTTGTCCCAACAATGGGAAAGCAACTAATACAATGTCCCAGCAGCAGTACTTAGCCTGTGCTGTGTGATACATAGATTCTGGTGTCCAGCGTGCTGGGAAAGACCTAATTTACCCTTTTGATTTTTATTTCTTCTTTTTTCTTAATCCTAGAAGATGTGAGTCTATTCAGAAAAGAACAAGATGGAGAGAGATTGTGAGAAGCCCACAAACAGCACAAAATACTCAATAGCAATATATATATATATATATATATATATATATATATATATATGTTATTTACATATACAGAGTAAAACTGAAATCGTTTACTGGCATGAAGAGCAATCATCCTTCCATGTCTTCTCAGTCTACCAGCTACCTCTCTTTCATCTGTTTTTGAACTGCTGTGTTCATTTTTATCCCTTGACTAGGGAGGTGAGCATTGCAATTTGAATTGCTTCTTATTGTGTCTTTTTTCCCCTTCTGGGCAGATTTCCTGAATAAAGGATCTCTCTCAAAGTTCACTTCCAGGCTCTTGTTTTTCTTTAAAAAAGAAAAGCCCACAGATTTTTCTTTGCAGACTTAACGTCTGAAACACACCCAGTTCCCGCTCTCAAATAGTTTCCTCTGTATGTTTCTCCATGTGGGTTTTATTCTAAATGGAGCCAGGGTTGCCATGGGCCAGACAGGGCCTTTCTGAGCCCATCCTAGAAACTATGTTGTTTCTACAGGTTACAAACACAGATTGAAAAGGTGCTTTCCCACCTCCAAACCCTTCCAGAACTCTCTAGTTTAGACGAGTGATATTTTTAAGGTTTCCCATATACCAAAGACAAGCTTAGATTCTCTGGCCCTGCAGTGAAAATATCTGTACACACCACAGCCTACAGTCACATAAAGCTCTCAACCCAGAGAGTGTGACCACTTCATGCTGGGCAGTGTCAGACTTCTGTTACCTTAGAAAAACCATAATGCTCACTGTTAGCAATAAAATGACCCCCGAGTATGGAATCGATTAAGTTTAAGATGGGAGGTGGGAAGGAGTGAGTGCACTTTATTTGCTTAAAGCAACATAGTTGCACCTGACATTAATAAATGAAATGAAGGGTGATCATTTTTTAAAACAACCATACAAATTGGAACATGCTCATAGTCAACAGAACGTGAAGAAAAATCCAGAAGTTGCCAATAAACTGCTGAAACTCAGTCATTTCTATTGTTTAAATAAGAAATTCATGGAAATCAGATTTTTGGAGAATCTCCATAAATTTTACTTCTTCTTTTTCTTTTTTTTTTTTATGCCAGGGATTGAACTCCAGTCCTTGTGCTTGTGCAGCAGGCAGTGAAACAACTGAGCTAAATCCCCAGCCCTTAAATTTTACTTCTTGCAATGAACTTATACTCCCTTTGTGTTGTCACAGAAAGTTTATGTGGAGCCTCAGGCAGCATCTGCAAACTCAGTGGAGTCTGATGCAAATTTTGGATCTTGCTAAACTTTTTGAGATGCTCAAAATTGTAGGTAAATATCACATTCATTAAAATACCAACAGTATTGTTTAGTATGTTCCAGATAGTGGGCTGAGTGCTTTACATACATTATTTCATTTAAACCTCACAAACCCCATATATATTATAATTTTTACTTTGCTTATGGCTAAACTGAGACCCAGAAAGGACGAGAAACTTACAGAAGGTTAACTTAACGAGAAGGTTACACATCCAGTTGGCGAGACATGAATTAGATACCTGTTTGGCAGCTGACCCTGCAGTCTGTTTTAATTCCTAACATTATTAAGTAAAGCTAAGTTATCCAGGAGTTGATCATTTGGTATTACCATCTATCATAGGAGTAGCTTATACCAATATTTTGCACAAGGCAGGGGCAGTGAAATCAGCCAGTGTTACATTTTGTATGAAAAACACAAAAGTAATACAGAAGGAGAAATTGATAATCAATCCACTGGTAGACACAAGACTAATAACTAAATAGAGTTACAATTCAAGTTAGCAAATATCCTTTATTGAAGTCACCATATTTTATTAAAGCTCAGATTATTCTTTCAAAAACACCCATGTGAATGGCAGCACCTCTCAGCACCCAAATGTTCCTCTTGATGAGGTCAGTGTGGCTAATGCATAGAAACTTCTATTTCAGCATCTCAGAATCTTTGGAATTCTGAGATAAAGAAGGGAGCTAATTGAAGGGAGGCAGGTATAGAAGGAAGGAAAGTCTGAGGCTAGGGAAAAGTTCCTAGCCACCCCTAACTTCCTGGTGGTCATGCTCCCAAACCTTGGACGCCTTTGTCATCTCATCTCTGCTTTCCTTGCATAAGGAGAGGTGGGAAAGAAGAGGATGAATAAAGAGAAAGAAGCGAAAAGAGTATTTTTTAAAACATGAAAGAAAATTGGAGACAGGTGAGACTGGGGGGTTCTGGAGCACGTTTTTGAATTTGTAAAGTCCATGAGGTACCTTGTGGAGTTCAACCTGTGGCTGGAGCCAGCTACTCAGAGTTTCAGGAAAATATTCTTTTAAAATGGTTTTATTCAGTCCTGCTGCTCCTGGCCCAGAGGAAGGGGCTTCCTGGCCACCATCCATCCCACAACTCCTGGCCCAGAGGAAAGAGCTTTTGGGCCACCATTCATCTCACCACTCCCGGCCTAGAGGAAGGGGCTTCTGAGCTGCTGTCTCACCTCTCCCAGCTCAGAACAGGTGAGCAGTGTGGGAGTCAACAGCACCATGCCACACTGGGTCAAAATGAGAAGACATGTAAATAAGTCTCAAAACCAGACTTCCAGATCACCTACAGCAACCCCAAAGGGAAATGAGATGGAACACTCTGATAC